TCCTGAGCGTTGGCAGGTGCACTTTTAAAATAAGTGGCATTAGTTACTGTAGTTGAACCTAGTAAGAACAATATGGGTTTAATGGTTTTCAAAATAAAAATGAATTGTTCATCTACTTTTGGGTAAAGCATTGAGAATCTATTTCTGTTGCAGTTACGAGGCAGGCTCTATTATATGTTTATATGGAAATAATTGTTGGGTACTGCGTCGTTAGAGTTCAACACTCAGTTGAGTTAGGTGTAGGAAATGCAGCAAATGCAACCGAGGAACTATTGAGTTTATGTAGTCGCTGATCGAAAGAGAGTGACCGATGTATTATAATATTTTACGTGGATATGGTCATGATGGTAGTCTCATGAATCATAGTCAATTGGAAGCAAATCAATGTCACTGAAGTTAGAGCTCCACGCTTCACGATTGGCGATGATGTGGGGTGATTCAATTTCCTAGTGATTAGTGACACTGACGCTATCGATGTTCAGGAAACTAACTCTCATCATTTTTAGAAGTATAACACTAGGATTTAATGTGAGGTGAATATTGCTGTGCTATGACAAGATTAGTGTGTGTTGATCTATATAGTTGCCTTTATTAAGCGAATTTCTTTTCTCAAATGATATTTTCAACTTTCCTGTTAATAGCCAGCAGCAATCAGTTTTGGTTTTAGAGTAGACTCAATATTGCTTGGTAGTAAGTTCAGTCTTATTTGTTCTTTCAATTGAGAATTTATATGTTTTTGAAGCTCCTAATAAATATTTGACATTTCGTTGTCGCCCGGCGGTTTGCGTACGAAATTTATTATGATATTTATTTACTTGCATTTTGAACATCTAAACCTATGGAAGCTCAGAGTTTTGGAGGGAAGACAATAATGAGAAAATGTAGGGACATTGAAAGCGTTCTACCATATCTGTCATTATTTTAATAGTAATGATATGATTGTGGAACATAAAGCAAATGTGAGCAATGGAGAATTTTGTGAAACACGACCTGAAAGGAGTGTTGAAGTGTTTAGGGTAAAAATTTTGCACTCCCCCCCCTCCAGACCGTTACCGACAGGTAATTTTCCCCAGCAGTGGATGATGGGACCAATTGATCGGGAAATGGCCTCATTTTCAGCAGAAATGGACCACCTCACATAAAGTCATACGTTTTCAGGAGAAATGGAAAAGAAAAAAAATATATAAACCGGGTGTTCCAAAAGTTCCTGTTACGATCGAAGTGTTTCCCTTCAATCGTAAGACGAAACAAACGAATAATACACGCTCCTTTCTAGTATAGTGGTAGTACAGCTGCCCCAAAAAGCAGAAGACGTTGGTTCGACTCCATTGGAGGGAGATTATCCTTTTGCTCCGTTCTGTTGTCATACTATCACGTTGCTGTCTCGCTGATAACTGAGTTTAATAATGTGAGAGAAAAGAATACATAACAGTTCCTTTAAATTAAAAAAATTAATATCTCCACCGCTCTTTCATTAAATGAGCTCATTCTTTTCCTTGTGGTGGAGGATACTTAGAAGTTGGGTGTGGGTGTGGGTGGGTGTAGCGTGGGCAAGGGGGGGAAAGAGTATTTCTATGTATTTTGTGTATTTCTGAAATACATAGAAATGGTGACCGCACACATCGTCGCACGATATTTCGTCACGTTCACTTCGTCGCAATCATTTCGTCGCATGATCACTTCGTCGCATGACATTTCGTCGCGTTCATTTCGTCGCAGAATTTTTTTTCCATTCTGTTCGTCGCATATATATTTCTTTCGTTCTATCCGTCGCAGATAAATTAATTTCTTTCGCTATTCTCAGCTCTATCCATTCATTGCATCTTCTCTCTGAATTAATTCCTTTTTTTATCGAAAGATAAAAAAATGAATGTGTTAATATTTGCTTATTTTGTGAATGATACATAACATAATAATGAACTAATTGAGAAAAAAAAGAAGAAAACAAAATAACCTAAAGAAAAAAACAATAATTTAAAGAAAGAAAGTAATTTAAAGAAAAAAAAATACCCAAAGAGCAATGTTAGCTGCCATATTTTTTAAAAATTGATCCAGTTGAGTTGGGTCGAATGAGTTGACCAGTCGAGTAATACGCTCGTCCAATTTTCGATAGCAGGCTTTCTTCGTCTTGATATTGTGGCCTTGAAGAATCTTCGTCATATCCACTTCAAATTTTGATTGTTCACGACGAATTTTCTCTCCCAGTTTCACGATCGTTGGATGGCTTATTGCGACGCGACTAGCGAAAGCATTGTGCCAACCTTCAACCGAACTGTTGGATCGAGGTACAGTAGCGACGACACGATCATGAATATTCCATAATTTATGATCGAATTGAGGCTTCTTTCGACCAGTTCCTAAGAAAAACAAGTATATTTGAAATTTATTAAAAATAGAGAAAAGAAATTACCTCTTCTTTTCGGTTCACCAATCCATTTTTTTCAAAATACTCGACTAAATCGTCGACGTCATCGTCGAATTGATCACAAATCAAGTCGAAGCTGGTTATAATTTGATCTAGTGGAGCAAAAGCGAGAGCAATTAATTGTTTTACATTTAAACGAAAAACCTCATCCTCGTTATATTTGGTTGTTAATCCTTTGCTCTGAACTTGTCGACATACCGCTTGTGAAAAATGAAAGAGACATCCTATAAAAAAAAAACGTTTCAATTACTTTTTCTCATAAACTAGAACGTACCTCTGTGTAAAATATTTGGCAACATATCTTTGACTGACTTGATTGTGCCAGTTTCGAAATCAGTCATAATTGATTCAGGTTGAAAGTTGTCTTGTTTTGACACTTTTTCGAAGAGTAAATTATAATCTTCAGCGCTTTTACCAATTAATAACCCATAGACGAGAGGAGTAATTGCATTGGTCATCATCGTATGTAATGTGAAGAGTCGGTAATAATCGTTGAGACACACCTATATGAAAGAAACTTGGAAAAGAAAAGGAAAAATTTGAATGATAATTTACTTTGAACCTTCCACCAGCGAACCAATGTTTGTTTTGATTCAGAATATATAAATTAGTTTTCTTTGCAAAGGTAATTAACTTTTTGTCTTCGTGCAAGATGAAGCCTTCGTCACGATATCTTTTTCTCAATTTTTCTGGTAAACGACCATCGGTGTCAACTGTTTCAGTAGTACGTTGTCGTTGAATCATTAGCATAAGTGATTCATTTTTGGAAGTTGACCAGCAGCACTGAGTGGATAGGTACGTAAGGCCAAATGAATAATTGTACTGGTTGATTCATCTGTTATTGCAGCATGCGCTTTAATTTCGTTTTTTAATTGGATAGGTGGAACACTAACAGGTTGTGGAGCACGACAATGTGATCTGATGTTGAGAGTGAGAGAAATGCGTCCACAGACAAATTGGTATGATATCGAGCTTAATTGATAAATGATTTCCATTTGAATTATTTGATTGATGTTCAAAGCGTACTTACCTTTACAATCTCGATTCTTACATCGAAAGATTGATTTCGTCTTTGTTGTACGTTCTATAGTATACTCTGAAAAAAATAAAGGAGGTTTACAGAACCCTCCGAAAAGGTTCTGTGGCTTTTCAAAATGCTCCAAATGTGTTCAAAGTCTCAAAAAAGGATAAAAATTTTGAAAGAACCTTTTGAAGGTTCTGTCAAAATTTTTATCCTTTTTTTGAGACTTTGAACACATTTGGAGCATTTTGAAAAGCTACAGAACCTTTCGGAGGGTTCTGTAAACCTCCTTTATTTTTTTCAGAGTAGATATAACCTTCATGAAGAATCATTGGTTCTCCTTTTACAGAAGAGAGTTGTTCGATTTGAGACATTTTTCTTGAAAAAAACTGTGCAGTAAACGTTGAAATTGAAAAGCGAAATTTTTTCATTTTTATTTTACTTAGTCCCATAACTAAGGACATTGGATTAGTGTTATCTTTAGTTGAGATTATGTTAAAATTCATTAACCGAGTTACAAATCTAATTATTTTTGATTCGCTTT